TGAGGCTGCGTACTTTAAGGCTGCAGACCCTGAATTGGGATACAGCCAATGACAAAAACAGGAACTTTTCTATAATTTAATTGTTTTTTTTAAACTACTTTTGTGTGGCTAAAACACAAAAGTAGTTACTAGAACTTGTAAATATACAGTTAAAAGTTATAAGTTTTTTATAAGTTATAAATATGCATCTTCCCCCAGACCCTTTGGGCCACCCCTGACAGTCCTCATTTATAAGGTGCTTTACAAACTCAAACAGTATAGCTAACAGGTGGATTTTCCCAGAACCAATGACTGCTTAAAGACAGACAGTGTGAAAGTGGATAGTACATCCTTGGTTTCTTAACATCATTGCTGCAGCCAGGGGTACAAAAGTGGCCTTAGAAGCACCTTAGACAGCTTTCTTAGGTTTAACCTCCTTGTTTTCCAGTGAGTTATCAGTTCTGTTACATAAACGAATGTAAGTCTATGTTTATGACACTATATTGCCGAAGATATTCACTCAATCAGCTATTCATCCAATCGCTTTCATAGCCAGATGGCAAATGGACTGGTTCTTATATAGTGTTTTTTTACTCTGAGCACTCAAAGCGCTTTACAAGCCATTTTATTTTTTACTCTATGCTGTTTCCAAGTGCTTACTCCTAGCATTCATACAATCCATTGGAGATGGATGCATTCACCAATGCAATGGGGCAACATGGGGTTGGAATGCAGACTGAAGCAGACTGGGATCAAACCTCCAACCTTCCAGTTAGTAGGTGACCCGCTCTACCACCTGAACTACATCTGTATAAAATCAAGCACGTAGGCATGTGGATTTCTTCTACAAACATTTGTGAAACAATAGGTTGTTCTCAGTATCTCAGTGAATTCCAGTATGGTACCATGATAGGGTGCCCTCTCACTGACTACTGACGTGTTAATTACAACTCAACAGCATCATCTTAACTGCTGTTGGGTTATCAGTTCATTACTGAGATAAACACAGGCCGCTTGGGCTGAATTGTAGACGGCAACGGTGACCACCCACTTTAAGGGCTCTGGTTTCAGAAGTGAATTCCCCATTCATTTGCCATTTCAGAATATCGTTACATAAAAAACTTTAAGCCTTGAACCAAACCTACAAGCTACAGGGTGAATCATGAGCAAAAAAAGATTTGATGTGGATCAAAAAAATAAAATAAAAACTGAAAAAAGA